ATCATCCATGTCTAAGACAATAATCTTAAGGAACCAATTTACAAAGACCGTTAAATTTAATTGCGCGACAATATTGAGACGACGAATAATTATTTTACTAAGAGATTTAAATTGCGTAAACCCTTGAAAAATGCGACTTAGTTATTTCCATTATTACACGTAGTACGGAAGAGTTCGGCTAAATATTATGGCTTTAGTTGAATCTTTATTTCTAACAACATATAAGCAAATTTTTTTTTTTACACTACAAATTTCTTTTGAAGATTATTTAATTTTAAATGCATATTGTTCTAAGTTAGCATCTCTACATGCTCGTAAAATCTGTGGAACCGAAAATTCTGTGGTGGGACAATGAGCAGTATCAAGGATCTAGAGAAAATCAACTTCCCCTTCGGATCTATGTCTAAATTGTGAAAGTGACCTAATGAATGAGTGGTACTGCCATCTATCAGTGGGGTTCTGCGCCAAGACGTACTTTCACCCTTGCGGTACTCTCTCGTCAAACGAAAGCGCACCTTCCTGACTTAATTCGCAAAATGCCAATGATTAGCAAGTTTGGATTGTACAAGTATATTAANAAGCTTCTCCGTAAGGACAGATGGCGAAAGTTCATTACAACTGATGAAGCTTGGATCTATCTATCTGATACCAATGCTAAATCTAAAGTTCAATATCTCAGCCGTGAGCAGAACAGGCGAGACTTGACATCATCAACCACGGTGCCTCATCCCAAAGGCGTAATGGTTTGGATGGGCATATCCGCCCATGGTGTGACCAAACCTCGGTTTGTGAAACCAGGAGCCAAAATAAATTCTGAGTATTACATACAGAAGATATTAAAGCCCTTTCTTAAGGATGATTACTGCAGATCGTACCCTAATGGAGATGCTGTGTTCCATCCGGACTCTGCCCCATCGCATGCTTCTAATGTCACCCAGAAATTCCTAACAGATCAGCAAGTGCGATTCCTGAGACCAGAACAATGGATTCCAAAAAGTCCTGATGCTGCACCATGCGACTATTTCCTATGGGGACATCTGAAAAACAAACTGAATAAGCGAAGAATTTCTACATTGAGAGACCTTCAAAGAGCTATTAGAGAAGAGGTGCAGAAAATCCCCCAGGAAATCATTTTGCGGGCTTTAAAATCATGGCCGAAGAGTTGTAGACAAATCTATTATGCCGGAGGTCGACATATTGAGAAGCGTCGCTGAATTTATGCAATAAATTTTGGAAATAAAAACATTCAAAAATGATCCCTATATTTCTTTGTTACCCTGTACATACAAATAACACTTTTAATATGGAGTCGATGATCACAATGTTTTTCCATTTTTTATCGAGAAAATAATAAAATAAACTTGATTTGTATTTTTTCTTCAAACAATTTTACTAAACATTTTTTCAGTACGCATTCCATCTATAATTCAGTTTTTTTTTTTTCATTTAAAGATGTTTTTTCGCTTTTTAATTTTTTATTGCTACAGTGGTGTTCCATATTATCATTTGGCGTCATTTTGACGGGAGAGAGGAGGAAGAGGTTAACTAAGGAAAAGAAAGTATTAAGAATTGGCAACAGTAAATTGAGAAGTTGACAGCGACTTACATCTGTCAAGAAAGCGTGACTACATGTTTAGCGAATCGTGTGAAAGCGAATCGTCATCCGTGTTTTATCCAGCTTGAATTCTTCTTAATTGTTTTCCTTTTTCTACTTGTTGATTTATGATTTTACTAGGAGGCTTTGCCCCCTACTCGCTGGCGCTCGCCAACCCTCAGAACTGCCTTCGCAGCTCATTTCGGATTGCTTCGCAATCCAATGCCCACTTTGCTCGCTCATTGGATACGTTCTT